AGTAATAAGTAGTAGTAATAAGTAGTAGTAATAAGTAGTAGTAATAAGTAGTAGTAATAAGTAGTAGTAATAAGTAGTAGTAATAAGTAGTAAGTAATAAGTAGTAAGTAATAAGTAGTAAGTAGTAAGTAGTAAGTAGTAAGTAGTAAGTAGTAAGTAGTAAGTAGTAAGTAGTTAGTAGTTAGTAGTTAGTAGTTAGTAGTTAGTAGTAAGTAGTTAGTAGTTAGTAGTTAGTAGTTAGTAGTTAGTAGTTAGTAGTAGTAGTAGTAGTAGTAGTAGTAGTAGTTAGTAGTTAGTAGTAGTAGTAGTTAGTAGTAGTAGTAGTAGTAGTAGTAGTAGTAGTAGTAGTAGTAGTAGTAGTAGGTAGTAGGTAGTAGGTAGTAGGTAGTAGTAGTAGTAGGTAGTAGGTAGTAGGTAGTAGGTAGTAGGTAGTAGGTAGTAGGTAGTAGGTAGTAGTAGTAGTCGTCAGTAGTAGTCGTCAGTAGTAGTCGTCAGTAGTAGTCGTCAGTAGTAGTCGTCAGTAGTAGTCGTCAGTAGTAGTCGTCAGTAGTAGTCGTCAGTAGTAGTAGTAGTAGTAGTAGTACAGTAGTAGTAGTAGTAGTAGCAGTAGTCAGTAGTAGGTACTAAGTAGTCAGTAGTCAGTAGTCAGTAGTCAGTAGTCAGTAGTCAGTAGTAGTAGTAGTAGCAGCAGTCGTAGCAGTCGTAGCAGTCGTAGCACTCGTAGCACTCGTAGCACTCGTAGCACTCGTAGCACTCGTAGCACTCGTAGCACTCGTAGCACTCGTAGCACTCGTAGTACTCGTAGTACTCGTAGTACTCGTAGTACTCGTAGTACTCGTTAGTACTCGTAGTACTCGTAGTACTCGTAGTACTCGTAGTACTCGTAGTACTCGTAGTACTCGTAGTACTCGTAGTAGTCGTAGTACTCGTAGTAGTCGTAGCAGTCGTAGCAGTCGTAGTAGTCGCAGGAGGTTTAATAGTCGTAGTAGTCGTAGTACTCGTAGTAGTCGTAGTAGTCATAGTATACTCAGTAGTCGTAGTAGTAGTAGTAGTGGTGCTTTTCGTTTGCATTTGTCTAGCTGCGATTCGTTTCCACATAGCGTCAGTCAGTGAGGAAAAGTATTGTCTTGACGAAAACATGTTCAAACTAGTTTGTATGCACCTTAACTTTTTTTATACATGGGACACGCAGCAGAAGCTTGCATATTCTGCTAGGATTGAAAACCCAAGGGTGCTCAAGAGACAAATACACGACGCACAACAAGCTGACCCGCAGCGTGTGAAGAATGTGAAGACGACATCGCTTGTCAACCATCAGACAAGATCAGACAAGCCTATACCTCGCATCACACAAGGTTTATACATTGCATTCGGTCGCTCCCAGCTCAGGTGACGCGCCATGCCAAATCAGTCCAGAGGCCTCGTGTTGTGAGTCAGAGATGCCAAAGATATCTTGTATGATTCAAAATCAAAGTTGGAAGAATCCTTTGTTCCATTCATCCCAATTCCATGAAAGTTTGAAATTCCCAAGTCCAGGGCGTCGTCGCAGCAAATTGGATCTACCCTTTGGATTTAAATGTCACTTTTTTGACAGAAGCTGCGCGCCAAGATCAAAGAGTGATCCAGCCCTGCTTTAAAGTTTAGAGAGGTTCAGAACTCGAAGTTTGCCACATCGAACTGAAATGCGTCGAAATCATTGAAGAGATCTGAGCTGCAGGGATCTGAAGTGATTGTCAGACGGTTTTGATTGCGGATGTCACGAAAGCTAGCTTCTGAGCTGAAATCCCTCTTGCTTTAGCAAGGTATTGTGGGCTGGAATCTGCAACCGCATGAAACTTGATACTTAACTACCCCCCCCTCCCCCCCTCGGGCTGGTTCACGCGCAGTTTGGCTGTGCTTCGATCCCCCCCTGGAGACACCGTCGGTATGTCGCCACCAGCAACAAAACCAGCAGCATCCGCATCCTCAGCATCACTGGCGTCGTCAACAGCGCATGCTTCAAGTCACTGGTGCAGCTTCGCTCACTATTGGCATGTTCATGGCTAGCCCTAAAACGTAGCTTCATTTTCATTGCGAACTTTCACATGTACTTTCCGGTCAGTTCTCACAATGGCAAGCTCGTCTTGGACATAATACTCCTTCATACAGCTGAGTTTGCAAAGGTCCTTCTGGAGCAAGTGCACTGGCATGTTTCCGCTTTTTGTTCTCGTGACATCCTACCTAGCCACGCTTCCAACATGTTCTTCTCTTGCAACTTCTAAGCCTTGAACTGAAAGGTCCACTCCCATGTTGAATGTGGACCCTTGAATCTTCTTCCTGCTTAGTGACCACCATGCTACTGAGTGAGAGTTTTGTGATTATGTTCACACGCGTGATATGATCGTGTTCTCTTCATAATATGTGACATTGATCCCCCTTCAATTTGTCACGTTCATTCTATACCAAGACATGACAAGCACTATCAAGCACTGTCTTGGACATAAAACCCCTTTATACAGATGAGTTTGCAAGCATACTGGGTGTTTTAATGCCAAGCCCCATGCCAAGCTAGCTTTCGTCACTTACCCCTGGGCCTCAAGTTTCCTGCTTTGGACGGTTCCTTCTTGGACGCCAGACCATTACATGTTCCACTAAATTCTCAATAAATCTTTTCCAAAGCCTGCTTTGCCGTACAGTTTCTCTAGAGCAGAGGCAAGACCTGTGCCATGGGACACGTATGCACAGAGAAGAATCCGGGCACCTGTCTCAGATATTAGGGCAGCGAAAAAAATAATAGTTGCTGCGAACAATGCCATTTTGCGATTCTTTTTGTGGAGTTCTAGCGAATATTTGGAAAAGATTGTGAAAAGATGGTGTGAAGATATGAGAAAGTTCGGCGAATCCAATCGATGCAAATGGCTAACTGATGCCAAGTTGAACAAGGTCGGGGTCGTCCTCGCCTTCCTGTTGCTGTGTGCCTGCACCATGGAGGTTGAACAAGTGCATTCGAACACCACAAAGATCTAGAAAACCAAATAAAACCAAATACTGCCCATATATGAAGAGAATTGAATACGAAGATAATTCTATACTTAGATTCAGTGAGGTAATGATTCATGAAATCATTGGGCTGTCAACAAGGTCGCAAGTTTTGCAGGTGAGAAGTGGGTTATATGCGAAACATTTGCCTCATGGAAGGGAATTCATCTAATGCATTAGGACCAGGTTGCCATTGAGACGCTCAGTTTTCCAAATTTGAAAGGTGTTCTTAAAGAAACGGTCCTTGAACCTCTGTTGGAAGATGTATTTTGCACACACTATTACGATATGTTTAGAATAGTGTACTTAGTAATACTTAGTATATATATAATATAGTATATCAAAAACTATGTCCTGTTCAGACGTACTTCACAATCAGCGTCACACAGTGGATTCGTATAATGAAAGTTTCTCGGACAATTTTTTTGGAAGGTTCAGGCCTGTGAGATCTCGAAAGTGTTTGGAACTCAACTTTGGCAAGTGCCATGTCAAGCGCCATGGCAAGTACCACCAGAGTCAGGCATGTTTCCAGTGAATATGAAGACATAATATGCAGACGACAGGCCCACATTTCCATCCAAGCATCATGGACGTCCATGCTGTGGTAATGTTTGCAAAGTATGTCCTAAGCGTTTCAGCATGTCACTCTAACGCGATCTTCCATCAGCATGGAAATCAAACGTGTAACATTTCCGAACATGTCGGTGCCATGGTGCCAAGGCTTGGTTTCTCCACAGATTCTTTTACTGCAAGCCTTGAGGCTATGGAGGTGCGGACTCCAAGAGGGAAGAGACACTGCACGACATTACTATCACTAGTTGCCACCAGCTAAAATAAGCAGAGTCGCAAAAGGATGCGGAGGCTTCGAGCCAAAAGAATGATGCACAGATAAAGAATGATAAGAGAAGGGCACAGAGGGTAAGAAGATGAGATGAAGAAGTCCCACTGGATAGATGAGAGCTGGCACAGAAGCGACAGGCATTTAGGTGCATTTTTGGTTTGTGATGCAGTTCACATGTCAGTTGTCAATTCTGGTTCTAAACGCCCGGGTAGCTTGTGTTCCTGGCTGAGACATGAAGATCCTGAGGGACGCAAAGGTTATCCATTTCAGTCAGCTCTTTGATTTGGTTGGTCTACCACTGCCACCATTTGGGATTTTTGGTGAAATGCCTCGGAAGGTAATTGCTATCTTTGGCATCGCTGCAGCGACAGGCTTGCTGATCCGCACCAGACAGCAAGAGAGCTTAAAGATACCAAGAACAATCAAGAACATCCAAGTACTGTGACAAGAAAGTAGAGACTCAGACATAGCACATCCCCTCAGACAGACAGGTTCCAGGGACGAGATGAACAGAATATGGAAGAGACTGTTCACCGATGTTCACCGATGTTCACAGTCTCTGTCACAACATCGCTGAAGAAATCGATCAGGCTTTGTAGATCAAGCGCTTGCGTTTCCTAGATTTCCCGGGCAAAAGCATGTCACCATTCGTGCCGGGGTGTACTCAGGGCGACAAATTTCAGAACTAGTGGTTCATAAGCCGCATGTTTAAAGTTTAAATTGCATGACCAACAGATTTTATAGATTGCATCACATTGCATCCAGTCCTACATGGCCAGTGAAATGTGTAGAGCACAGCAGACTGCTGACCTCCAGGCAAGCTTGCGGAAGGTTGGTCTCTTTTCTGAGCTCGCACCAAGCCCAAGCCGGGTGCTGTGTAAGTCCGTCCCCGTTCTGATCGAAGTTTGGGTTCCGGTTCTGTACAGAGCAGCACCCCCTTGGCACGTCCATATACCGATGACTCTGCGTTTCTGCGGAGCCAGAAAAAGTTCAGCTGGTGCATGGATGAATCCAAGTCACACACATCTCTCAACTCAAATTTCAAGTAGGGTGCTGCTTGAGCAAGCACAGTCGGGTGTTTCAGAAGTATTGAAGTATTGCCAATGTTTTTGTGTGCCTTGCGAATTGCTTTGTTCTCCAGGAGAGCCCAAAGATGGCTCAAAGGCCGCAGCATGTCTCTCAGTATGAGCAGACCAAGCAATTGAAACATATTGAAACAATGATGTCCACTGACTTCAAAGGATCAAGAAGGATTCGGAAGAATTCTGAGAGATCATGAAGGAAGGATTATGTGCTTGCAAAGCCTGTTGCATTGTCGCAGCAGCGCACCTTCCAGTGGCATATTCTGGCCATCGCTGTTAGGTCGCCTGATGAACCACTACCTTCGGCAAGAGAGCCACTTGCAGTAAGACGTCCTGTTTCAATGATTCAATATATTCAATGCGCCACAGAAGACCGCATACCCAGAATTGCACATCAACTTTCATGAGATATCATTGATATTCATTGGTCCCTGTTGTCTTATCCTTCGAGTTATCCTGTCTTTCATTGGTCCCTGTTGTCTTTCATGAGTTATCCTTGCTTTGTTATTTTTTGCACTGCAGCGGACTTTACGTGGAATGCTGGCACAAGTATCTTGCAGAGACCAGTTGCATTTCAGAGACACAATCTCCCAGACCGAGAAGAAGGGCCAAACAAGAGTAGCAAGAGAAGCACAATCAAGTTGCTAACCAAGCAGGACCAAGCACAAACGAAAGCCACGAACAAAGCACAAACCAGCCTCCAAAGGTCGACGCAGCCTAGACCAGGTGACCAGGCAGAGGGCCCCATAGCAACAGAGGGAGGCACAGTAAGAAGTACAGACAAGTAGGCAGATGCGGCAGATGCGGCATCCCACATAGTAGATACTTTAAGAATCTTTAAGAACCTTTTTAAGAGAACCGTTTAGAAACTAATTACTGGGAACTCTTCCCGACTTCAGGCGGACAGTGCCACTAATGTAAGGCTGTTTCCTGCTGAGTGCGACAGTCACACAAAACATTACAAAATCCAAGACAATGTCAAGTACCCGCCTACTCGAGCAAGCCAGCTGAATCCGCCTACCATGGGATGCTGCCATCCCCCGGTCACAAAGCACAAAATGATCAAAATGCATGGAAATAGATTCTAGAGGCAGCAAGGGCGCAGGGGCTTGAATTTGCTCATGCAGCCGAATGGAATCCAATCTCTTTCAAAAGGCACAAACCGAAAGTTAGGAAGCGATAGGAAGCGCATGGAAGTGCAAATAAATCTTTTCATGGCACAGGCTACGCAGGCACAATGATGGACAAGTACTTCATGTCCATCACCACTCCCAGCCAAGCAATATTGCAATCAAATGCAATCAACAAGAAGAACATGTTGCAGACAACCGTGGTCATGGAACAACCTCTTCCAGCTATGCCGAGTAGAATGTTATCCAATGATTCCGACTTTATTCCCTCTTTTTTCCAGCTTGTTTGCCTTATGCTGTCCATAATCATCATAATCTTGATACTGGGTTGTGTTTTTGGATGCTGAGTCCGACGTTTTCGCCGCCTCGCAACTCAGTAGCTTGGCACGTCTGCTCCAATCATCTCAGGTGGATTCGGCGTTTCAGATGGATTCTGCATGTGGTTAGATTCGGTTAGATAATGATGATCATGATGATCATGTTAGATTCTCAAAGCTCTCAGCTTGATCATGTTTGGTCATGCATTTCGTGATATTTCGTGCCAAGGTACCAAAAGAGCGGCCCAGGCAAAGCTCTTCGGAGAATTTCAGAGCTCTCATTTGCTGATCATGTGCTGATCACGCTCTAGTGTTCACAATGTTCACACCTTGTTGATGTTTGAAATTGGTTTGCTATTTTTGGATGCTTTTGGAATCTTTTGGTGCGTGAAACCTGATGCAATATACAATATAAGTATACAGTATAAGCTGCACAAGCACAGTGAGATTCTGTCAAGGAGTGCGTCTCCAGATTGGATTCCGAGAACGCCACCACAAGAACCCCCGCAGGCACATGTGTTGTTTTATGTAATTTTGCCTGAAAGTTGTCAAGTGAAACAAAAGCAAGTTTGGGTTTGGTGCTTGGTTATTTCCTAAAAAGTTTCGGGAACCCCAAATCCAAACCTTTGCAAGATTTTTCGAAAGCATTTCCCAAAACAGCATAAGGTCTCTGACCTAATTTCAGCGTTTCCAATTCTCGTGAGTTCTGTTGCAGGAGCCAAGAAAGGCCACTGGCAGTTGGACAACAATCTTTCAAAGTCCTCCGGAGGCACCTTCCAAAAATATCCACAGCTTTTAAAATGATTCGTACGTGTAGAATAGGCCGCATAGGTGATTCAGTGATTGGTTCCATGTGCAGGAGGTCTTGATTGGAGCATTCAATGAGAGAAGACAACCTGAGAAGATCAAGTGCACTTGTGCGCCATTGCGCGATACGAGGATCAAGAAAAACAGGAGAAACTCAGCCCTCCCAGGCCAGCCTCAATTTTGTTTTCAGAGTCCTGAATATGTTTTTACCATAATATCCCTGAGTTGAGTTTGCCATAGTTTGACTGCTTCGCGCATTTTGGACCATATTGACACCTTGACTTTCAAACGACTTGCTATGGACAAGTCAGCGACGTTTGAAAAGCTCTGTCAGTCTCAATGCAAATCGTGGTGCATATATGCTGTACCAGTAGTACCGCACAAGCCGGTGGCGGAAGTTTCAAAAATAGGAAACCTATAGGAGAGGTGAATTGTTGTGAATCACGGATGGCAGAGCGAATCCACTGATGGACCGAAAGGTGGTCGGAGTTGTGTTTCTTGGACTGGTTGCAATGTTTGCAGTGGTCACCTCACCCACAACTGCTGGATGTAGTGTGATGTAGTGCAGTTGTAGTTGTAGTTGTAGTGTAGTGTAATCAGCGCGGTTGTAGTTGTAGTTGTAGTTTTTGATCCATCTATCTGTCGATCTGCAACCTTGAAAACGAAGCTATTCTGCGAGACTTCTTCAATTTTGGAACTTGACAACGTTGAAAACGCAGCAGTAGTGTACTGTACTGTACTGTACTGTAGTGTAACGTACTGTAGCATAGTAGCTAGTGGCTAGTGGCTAGTGGCTAGTGGTGGTAGTAGTAGTAGTAGTAGTAGCAGTAGCAGTAGCAGTAGCAGCAGCAGTAGTAGTAGCACGAGTAGTAGCACGAGTAGTAGTAGTAGTAGTAGCAGGAGTAGTAGTAGTAGTAGTACTAATACTAGTAGTAGTAGCTAGTACTAGTACTAGTAGTAGTACTAGTAGTAGTAGTACTAGTAGTAGTAGTACTAGTAGTAGTAGTACTAGTAGTAGTAGTACTAGTAGTAGTAGTACTAGTAGTAGTAGTACTAGTAGTAGTAGTAGTAGTAGTGGTAGTGGTAGCAGTAGTAGTAGTAGTAGCAGCAGTAATAATAGTAGTAGTGGTGGTGGTGGTGGTAGTAGTAGTAGTAGTGGTAGTGGTATTAGTAGTGGTAGTGGTACCAGTAGTGGTAGTAGTAGTGGTGGTAGTGGTAGTGGTAGTGGTAGTAGTACTGGTACTAGTACTGGTACTAGTAGTGGTAGTAGTAGTGGCAGTATTAGTGGTAGCAGTAGTAGTAGTAGTAGCAGCAGTAATAATAGTAGTAGTGGTGGTGGTGGTGGTAGTAGTAGTAGTAGTGGTAGTGGTATTAGTAGTGGTAGTGGTACTAGTAGTGGTAGTAGTAGTGGTGGTAGTGGTAGTGGTAGTGGTAGTAGTACTGGTACTAGTACTGGTACTAGTAGTGGTAGTAGTAGTGGCAGTATTAGTGGTGGTAGTAGTAGTAGTAGTAGCAGTAGTAGCAATAGTAGCAGTACTAGTAGCGGTAGCGGTAGTAGTGGTGGTAGTGGTGGTAGCGGTAGTAGCGGTAGTAGCGGTGTTAGCGGTGGTAGTGGTAGTGGTAGTGGTAGTGGTAGGGTAGTGGTAGTGGTAGTGGTAGTGGTAGTAGTAGTAGTAGTAGCAGCAGTAGCAGTAGCAGTAGCAGTAGCAGTACCAGTACCAATACCAGTACCAGTACCAGTAGCAGTAGCAGTAGAAGTAGTAGTAGTAGTAGTAGTGGTAGTAGTAGTGGCAGTAGTAGTGGTAGTAGTAGTAGTAGTAATAGTAGTAGTGGTAGTAGTAGTGGTAGTAGTAGCAGGAGTAGTAGTAGTAGTAGTGGTAGTAGTAGTAGTAGTATTAGCAGTAGTAATAGTAGTAGTAGTAGTGGTGGTGGTGGTGGTAGTAGTAGTAGTAGTGGTAGTGGTAGTAGTAGTGGTAGTGGTACTAGTAGTGGTAGTGGTAGTAGTAGTAGTAGTAGTCGTGGTGGTGGTGGTAGTAGTAGTTGTTGTTGTAGTGTACTGTAATTAGCGTAGTGTAGTGTAATGTAGCTGTTGTTGTAATGTAGTTTTTGATCCATCTATCTGTCTCTCGGCAACCTTGAAAACAAAGCTATTCTGCGAGACTTCCTCAATTTTTCAACTTGACAACGTTGAAAATGCAGCAATTCTGCGAGATGTCCTCAATTTTTGAAGTTGACAACGTCAAAAACGAAGCAATTCTGCGAGACTTCCTCAATTTCCAAGTTGGCAAGATCAAAAACGAAGCAATTCTGCGAGATTTTCTTCAAGAATGGAAGGTTGAGTGCAGAGCCGACTGCCTCTTACCAATGCGTTTTGCGATGTTTCCACTCCACCTGTCTAAAGCACTGCGCCTGCCACGAAAAAGTGATGCCAGGTCTTACGAAGTGCTGCACCTGTCACGCAAAATCACCTTCCCAACGCTGACGATCTGATGCTCCAAAATGCAACCTCTCTCAGGAAATCTCCGCCCTGATCTCCTATCGCATCTACCTCATGTGTCTCTTGCACTACGCCTACCACGCGAAATGCATCTTTCTAGATCCTCTTCAAATGTCCCACGCCTGCCATCGTTTTTGAAACTGCCACAAAACCCTCATGTTTTGCTCACTTTTGACAAGGTGCACAATCCCCTGCGCCTGCCACGCAAAACGACATCTGAACGTCCAAAAGCGCTCCGTATCCCACAGTTTTTGGCACTATTGACTTCGAAATGTGCTTCGCGCCACAACGGCGTGCACTTTTTGAACATCTCAAACTTCCAAAAGTGTTTCGAGCATGGTGTGCTTTGTACATTTTGACTTGGACATGTGCTTCGCGCCACAACGGCGTGCACTTTTTCGACATCTCAACTTCCAAATGTGGTCCGACCCTGGCGTGCTTTGTACATTTTGACTTGGCAATGTGCTTCGCGCCACAACCGCGTGCAACTTTTCATCTCTCATTTGGCCAGCTGGCTCCGCACCCGCCGCTTTAGCGAGCCTACTTTTCGACCCTCCGGAGCCACAAATCATTGGAAAAACATAGTGTTTCGCGACTTTCCTACCTTTTCGCGCACCTGGATCTCCTTTCTTCTGAAAGTTTCTCCTTGTTGGTCTTCTTTCTTCTTCCCTTCTCTTCTCTGACTCTTCCCATCTCTGCGTTTCATCTGTCCATATTGTCGGAAGTTTGTCTTCTAAACTTCTTTCGATGATGCGGTCAAGCTGAGTTTGTTTCAGGACTGAAGCTGTTACGCGACATCAAGGCAGTGCTTGTGTTGATTCGGGGGGCGGGTGCAAGCTTGCGCAGTATGGATCGGCACAAGGTCTGGGTGAGCCACTCTGAGAAATCAATGGAAAAATCATGACATGAAAACCCCACATTTTCGACACGTCCACGTGACAGTCACATAAGCTCACCTGATGTTTTTCTGTCTCCCGCGCTGGAAGGGGCAAAAGAGGAGACGGAGACAAAGGATAGCAAGCCAGCTAAACGGGACCGAGACAGCAGTTCTTCCACTGAGTATGATGCCTTCGCAACAGGCACATAGTGATACGATGAGCGGAGGCAATGAGGTAAACGAATCTAAAATGAATCGAAAATAAACAATGGCCTGGCAGTGACAGAGATGGTGACACAGCTGTTGTTTTTTGCATGGTGCTTTCAGAGTCTTCTTGTAGCTTGGAGAGCCAATATAGAGAGTCGTTAAGTTGTCAGGGCCGGAGCCACAATGTCGCCTTCAATGTGCGATACACGTCTTGTATCAGCGCAGAATCAAAGCCAGATTTAGGAACCGGGTAAAATGATGTAAAATCGCAGATGAGACCCCCAGGGAACAACCAGAAGTCGATCACCGTTGTCAGGGCCAGAGCCCGTAGCACTCCAATCACCTCCCAGGCAAGGTCTTTGCAGCCAGAAGTCCGAATGGGAGCAGACTAGCACAGTGTTGCTAAGCACAGAGTTGTTGCTGAGCAGAAGCCATGACACTCCATGACACAGACAAACAGAGCACAGGACGCGTCGGAAGCAGAGCCACGAAAGCCACAAGTCGCGGCGGTCGCGGCAGTCGCGGCAGTCGGAGAGTTCCACTGGATCTGCAGATGAGTCTGTTGCCAGGCACAGGACCTTGGGACTCAGACGCTGTGGGACGCCTGTGGACACCTTGCCATGTAGTTTTGCTTTTTGTTCAGAATTTGGATAAGAAACCTTTTGCCACGACAGAGTTTCTTGAGTCAATGGGTATCAACAGACAGAATAGAATATAAAGATGCAGGCCACCAGGAGCCCAACTGGTCCAAACCAGACTTGCGAGGCCAAGTGGACTTGTGGCGCAGTCTGCTCCGACCCCTAGTAAAGTCACTTTTACTGTGGAACGGGCTTTAAAATGTTTCCACTTAGGATACCTTAATTAGCTTTTGATGGCTTTCGCATGCTTGGTGAGGTCAGACCTGGCAGTTCAGGTCACGAGCCTCAAGAGTCCAAATCACAACTAGACGACGCATGGCCCAAGAGCGTAGAGGAGCAAGTTTCTCAGTTGTTAGCATCAAGGCAATGTAAAGAGTACCTTAAAGATGTATTGTATGCTAAAGAATAGAAAATGTCGCAGATGATCAGCAGAAAGAAGATAGAGATGATATGTGAAGATTCTAAGCTGAAACCTGATGAGGTGCATAGGAAGAGTTTTACATGCATGCATTTTTACACGCACACACTTTTACTCTACGCACACAAGCTTTTATACACAAATGCTTTCACAGACGGACATACACACACACACAGACGCACACCTCTACGACAGACACACACACACACATGCACAGACGAATACACACACACACACTGCTCTGGTTGTGAGTTCTGAGGTTAAATTCAAACTGGTGAGGTTCGAAGTTAAATCCACGTGGGTGAGGTCCGCAATGGTATGAAGAAACAACAGCTTTATCAGCCGATTCGTACCTGAAACAGCCTCGAGGAAAAACAGGTGATCATAACTAAGCCAGCAGGTACGTGAAAACGGCGTCCCGTTTTCATATCACAAGGAGGAGTGACGGTCTTCGTTGGTGCCAGCTTCACTCAATCCTCCAGCACCTCCTGCATTGAATCACATGCAGCACTGTTGGCGTCGCAGCAAACGATTATCGGCACCATTCCCTGTGCTAGAAGGGTTCACACACACGCACATGCCCCATCCAGGGGCTGATTTGCCCAATGGTCCATGCAAGATCACACAGGTAGATAAGACCAATATTAAACCACCAGAACCTTTATGTGTGAGAAGTCAGCTATACAAATTTGACATCTGGTAACCTGGTAGCCACATGGAGACTGTAAAAGGGAAATCAGCTTCGCAATGAATCCACACAGCCCAATGACTTAATTATCCGGCGGCTTGGTTGTTGTAAATACGCTGTATCTTCATACAGGATCAAGTTGCAACGTGCGTACTCCACAATAGCATCCAACATTGCCTCGAACAACCTTCTAGGTTTTACGGCTGAGCTCAGCAGCTCTTAATGCAACCCTTTGACACTACTTGGCCCTTTTGTATTTGTAATGTTTAAAAGTCTCAGTGAATTAGGACCTAAGTGCTGTGAGAATTTGACGTGCTGAGGCAAAAAGATTCCATGGTTTCTAGGTGATGCCGTATAGGCCTTGTCGACGTGGAGGCACTCTCACACTCAAATCTGCTAATCTAAAGTCAGGCGAAGAAACAGAGATTTGTTGGCGCATGAGGGAAGAACATAAATAGGAGAGACACGAAGAGCACTAAATGAAAACCTCAAGAGGAAACATTAAAGAAAATAATACAACCAAGGGAGACAGTAGTGCGAGAACCAAACAAGTTGCAGGAAGACCAAAAACCATCTAAAACACGCACAGACACACACACACACACACAAACAACCGACCACGCACACAAACGCACACACACACAAATGCGCGACGCACAAACACACACACACACAGCACACAGCACACAAGCAGAAGAGGCGGCGGAAGAAACACAAAAGAACAAAAAACGCAGACGAGCACCGCGAAAACCCAGCCCAGTAGCAACAGCAGCAGCAACCGCAGCAGCAGCAGCAAAAACACACCAAAGACTAACAACCCAACAATGGCCAAGGGATCAGCCGACGGACGCGCGCAGACCTAGGAACAAACCAAAACAGAACATCAACAAGGGGGAGGAGACTGTAAGAAACAAGTCAAACACAGATCTGTCGAATCCAGTGATGCTTGTCACTCTGCTTTCGCAACATTGACAAATGACTGTAACCATCCGTAACCACATCCTGGGTGTTTTGGCTTGGCCCCAGAAGCCATAAACGGCAAATGAACACTAGAAATGCAGGAAAAATGAAACCGCAACCGCTGCTGCATCAATTTTCAGAGGCCGCATTCATCCAAAACTACGGGAGTGAGAAGTTGGGAGACAGTCCACGAAGAAGTCCGTTGATCATGGCCAGTATTATTGCGAATCTTTGCTGCCCATCGCCACAGTTGGTGTGCTACTGTACGTCGCTGCAATCCCGAACGGAAAGCCATGACACAAAGATCTTGTAGTTGGGGGATCACCAATGATTTGGGACGTGCGTAACGCAGAACCATAAGTAGGTGCTCTGCAAATGCTGAAGTCAAAGCTACGTCTGATCCTTGGCTCAGGCTGGAACGATAATGACTCATGTCATGCGGGAACCGGACGGTAGTAGCTCTCTGTTCGATGTCTACGTGGACCCCCAGCAAAATTGGGTCCGAAACTTCTTCCAGAATGTTTGGCGCCCCCTAGAATTCTACATGTGTAAATGTGGACCAAACAGGAGCTTTGCGCCATGATCCAATCCCAATCATAGCTCTGTTGTCTACATACCTGGCATTACAAAGGAGTCGGTTAGCGCTTATTAAGTCTTCAAACGTTTTTGTAAATATGTACTCTTGGCAAGCAGCCACAAGCCTACACAATGCCGGCGCAAATTGGCTCCCCATGGATGCACCCCGAACTTGTTTGAATAAGTGCCGACCAACCATGAAATATGAATGGCGCAAAAGAAAGCTGATCATGTCTGGAATATGTTGCCCTTTTATTTGGACAACACGACTTCCAGCTCTTCTATACCGACCACGGAAAATGCGACGACAGGACTCTTGATCTTGGAGTTGAAAGGTGATAGTGCTGTCCAAAGAAACTGAAAATTTGTGGCACACCACATGAAGTGCAAACCAAACACTATCCATCATTCGGGAATGTGGGACAGGATTGAAAAAACCTGAAAGATCTTGCTGGTCAAGCCGAACTGGGACTTCACTTGGCAGATCTGTAAAAACTGAATGAATTGCTTCCATGATTTGAATGACGTCTTGGTCCAGTGATATATTGTGAAACAACGAGCGGCAAAGTTGAAGAACATACCTCCAACCACCTGCCCCAACCGGCAGTTCCAGGAATCTGTGTAAGAAATAATGGGACGCGCGCTTTCAAAGAATTTGCTGGGTTTAGGGAGAATATAAGCGTATGGACATTTCGCATTTGATGACACGAGTTTGCGCGAATGCGGCGGTAGAGCAATCTGAAGATCTTGAATGAGCCGTGGAAAAACTGTATTCCACCCAACAGAACATCTTGTGAATATCTCAGCCATGAACCTCTTGATGAGAAGGAAATGGAAATGACGCGAGCAACATAGATGAGCGCGGTAGGGATGGTGGTCTGCGGGACAAATCACGAACTGCTTAAGGCTTCGAAGCTCATGAAAAATTTCCTGAACTGTACATATTCCAGCACGGTGCGCTGCTTGAAGGCGTTGCTGATTCCAAATGTGGTGGCAAATGTAATTCCAAATAGTGACAAATCTATTTCCGAGACGCCATCGGGCACTCCACTTGCCAAACTCTTGTTGTGCATGCGCGATCCATCGCTTCTGTGAGGTCAAAAGGGTGTCAGCCAGGTTCACACGCCGTAATTAGACTAAGAACAAATCCTGCACTGTTGCGAAAACATGTCCACTGGACCGGATAAAATTCCCATAAGCAAAGTTCTCGCAGTCGACGCAGCCAATAAGACATTCATCAGGTGACCACGTTTTTAGAAAGGAATGAATATCAAAAACAAAATCAGTCAAAGGTCTGTTGCGTCGTAAATCATCTGAGCAGTACTCGAGTAAAAACCTCAGCCATGCGGGCCTGGACTTCAATGGACGCAGTGTAACTTTTTGGAGTTGGCAGCACTTACTAGGCATGCTTAAGAAATCTTCAAGATCCACCGGTCGTAGACCTAGCTTAGCGGTATGAGCCATAGTTGATCAAAGTTCAAACATGTTGAATACATCAAGCTGGTAGAAGTTCACAGCATGACGTGATTAGTCCACTTAAATCCCCTAAATGGATCGCTCAGAACATCCCCAAACATGTGCAAATTGCTTACAATCACATACACTTCCCACCTATCTATCCGGAGGTTCCAAGTCACCACAAGGTGACCTGGTCTGCAATCCCATCTTCCGGCAAATCCATATGCCCGCCATCATAGAAGCAGCGCATGATTCGCCTTTCACTGGAGCAACCTTTGTATTCCAGGCAGCTGAAATTCCCACTTCCCTGACAATCAGTCAGAAAAAGAGTGAAGCCCAGAACGACGGCCCACTGTTCAACAAAGCGATCTTCAACAAGTGAGACCCAAAAAATAGCCAACTGTTCCACTTTACTTAAACGAATTACTAGGTTAAAAATGTAAATTCAGAGGTCGAGTCGGAGGATCCAAGATCCTAGCTAGAGAGGTATTCCCCGAGGGACTCATGTCACCCTGGCGAACCGACATGAGTAACACACTTGATCAAAACTGTCGTTGCGAATTTTGCTGTGGAATGCATAGACATGCAAAAAACACCAACACAACAACATAACACGATGAGATGACCTCTATATATATATATCGAATCACAGTAGACCTTGACGGTATCAAACAACAGCGATATGCTATACGTCCGTCCCCCCAAGCTGCAACTTAAATGCGCCCAGGGGCTGGACTATACATATATAAATATATCTGCGGGTTCAGGAAACCGGCCACATTTCCCTTCCCACTCATGCCCACAGCTTCATTGCGTGTGGTAGGACATGAGTGCCACACGCCCCTGCGACAATAAAACGTTTTACATCTATTCAGATGGTACACACACTTTTTTACACATAGATGCATTTACACACAGGGCGCTCTTAAACACGCACACTTTATATTCAAAGACGCTTTTAAACATAGACGCTGTTAGCCACAAACACTTATACACACAGATGCTTTTACATCCAAACGTTTTTCAACACAAACCCCCACACACACAGACGAATACATGCACCCACAACAAACACCTTTACACACAAACACTTTCACGCACAAACACTTTTAAACACGGACATTTTTACACATAAGCACTTGTACACGCAGACCCTTTACCACACAAACACTTTTACACACAATCGCTTGTACACACAATCGCCTTTACACGCGGACGCTTTTACACACAGACGCTTTTTACACACAGACCTTTTTACACACAGACGCTTTTGCACACAAACCCTTAGTTTTTAACACTCGAACTTCATTTCGTGCGAAAGGGTTGCCGCCGGACCAACCAAACTCGCAAGAAACCCTCAGTTTTTGACGCTCGAACCTCGTTGCGTGCGAAAACCAAACTCGCAAAACAAACTTCAGCTTTTGACACTCAAACCTCGTATTGTGGGAAATGGTTGCCGCCGAAGCGCTAAACTCGCAAGAAGCCCCCAGTTTTTGACACTCGAACCTCGTTTCGTGCAAAAGGGATGCCGCCGGACCAACCAAAGAAAAGCACAAAGCCCTCAGTTTTGAACACTCGAACTTCATTTCGTGCGAAAAGGTTGCCGCCGAGGATGTAAACTCAAAAAAACATTCAGTTTTTGACACTCTCGTGCGAAAAAGTTTCCTCCGAGGATGTAAAACCGCAAAAAAAGTAAAAACAATATTTTTTTGACATTGACATTCAAACATAATTTCATGCGAAAGGGTTGCCGCCAGACCAACCAAACTCGCAAGGCACCAGTTTTTGACACCCGAACCTCATTTCATGCGAAAAGGTGGACACTGCCTGCGGCCTTAAGAGAGAAAAGAAGAAGGAGAGAGACCGTGACAGAGGGCAAGAGAGAGAGAGAGAGAGTGAGAGAGAGAGAGGGAGAGGGAGAGAGAGAGAGAGAGACAGAGAGAGAGAGAGAGAAGATGCGTAAAGATATGCAGATGTGAATATGTGAAGATGTGAAGATGTGAAGGTAAGACGATGTGAAGATGTGAAGGTGTGAGTTTGTGAAGATGCGAAGATGAGAAGATGTGAGTATGTGAAGATGTGAACATGTGAAGATTTATAGCAAACCTCCAATTTTTGAAAAAACTTCGGTCAGACGCTCTCGGGAAAAAGCGCAGAACGTCAAACAAACTAAACGATCCAACCGGTTCGTTTCTCAGTGCTTTGGAGTTTGGACACGGCATGACGCAGCTTAGGTTCTCCTTCTTTGGAAAGGCAAGACACCTTTGAAACTTTGAGTTTTGGCTCTCGGTCAGTTCAAGAAAAGGTGTTTTCATGCAATTGCTTGGTTCGTGGAAATCCTGGGCGCCCCTCCCCAGTTCCCCCCAATCAAACTCATCATCGACAGGCCCTCAAACTGATTCATGACCTGTCAAGCTGTATTGTATTGTTTTATTGCGGGGGGCCTCCTTGGACAAACCGCTACAACGCGATTTTATATGATTTTATCGCTGTTGCTGCTGCACCAGGAAGCCAGCGATCGACCGAAAGGAAGTTGAGATTGACACGGTCCAAGCTATGCAAGTGGAAAATTCCCTTTGAATCAGTTTCGCTGGACGGATCAGACCTTGACTTTCGATGCATTGGATGCACTGAGCTAACTAAGGAAACTAGTCACAACGGTCGCAGACTCGGAACTGCCTCAACCCAAAACTGCAAAATGGTCCGTTTTGTCTTCGATAAAGTGTCTACTGCTAGCATTCAGCATCGTTTTGAAATTTCATGAAATTTGCCATCCTGTATTTTGCGAGCTTGTTTGCATAGAACCAGTTGCATTCACATTATTCTGGAAGATGCTCCGGATTTTTGCGACAAAGGCAATGTGTCATCAACTGACAAGACCAGGCACATCGCTTTGAGATAGACTCGTCATGACTTGTCCAACGGCAATGGTGAAGCAGAGCTGGGAAAGTTCCAGTGGTTTGAGATTGTTTTGATTTGTCCCATCTGTTTTTTTTGGAACCAACCATTGACTCAATCTTTCCAGACGTATTCTGATTTGTCCGGGTTGTTTGTGCAAGACAAGCATCAAAACAGCTGATCTATCCCCTCTTTGATACGCTTGGCTTGAGGATTCCGGCAGAAAAAATTGAGGATTCCATCATGGTTTGATCAAGTCTGTCTTGCGAAGAGCGCAGCTGAGGTTGCCGAATGCTGCATCTGTTGCGGGCTTGGAACTGTGCAACCTACCTTGGCTTTCAAATGTTTTCAGTTTGCGGTGTTTATTGAGTTTATTGTTACAGGTCATTCAATCATATTCAATAACATAGGGACTCAATGGCCAGAGGGCTACTTTTTGAAACACCTTGGGCTCGCAGGCCACTTTGCATGCGCAAGGCACAGCGGGCAACAGACACAAACGATCAAGGATCAAAGCCTTGAAGTCATGCAGACATGATATGAATATATAATATGAATTGATATGATATGATTAGAGATCAGAGTAAAATGATGTAAAAAGATGTAAACAGTCATAATTAGGATCGCTGTGTTGACGATGTTGCGCAGGCGGTGAAGGTCCAGATCTGCCAGCCAGGACGTGAACAAACTATCACGAATCAATACCAATCAGATCCTGTCAGTCATTCCAACAAATGCATGTTGTCAGATGTCAGGACAGAAAAAAGTCCCGAAGCCACTGGCCTTGCAATAACTTGTTGGCAAATCCAAGAGACGACTGTGGTGTTTTTTCTTCAAGTCAACTCGACTCCCGGCTCTGAGGTTAACAAGGGAGAGAGTGATAACCTGCCTCCAGAGCAAAGCACTTACTTTGCAATAGAAAAAGCCTTGGGAAATGTCCACTGATTCATTTGTATTCACTTGTCTCGCATTAGAATATGTCTTTTTTTTGTATCTTTGTCGCGCTTACGATACTTCTTGTCGTATCTCATTTCATTCGGTTATGTAGGGATATCTTCCATTCCTCTCAGGTGCAACGGCTCAGGTAGGCTGAGAAGAACTGAGAGCCATTGAGAATTTCACAGTACTAAGCAGAGAGTCTTCTGCTGTTTGTTTCCTGGTGGTATTCTTGTCGGCCTTGCACAGTGTTTCAACACATTTGATGCGTGCCGCGGCCGGTGTTTTTTGCAAAGCTTCTCGGTAAAGCTCCAGGTAGTGACTCAGACTCGGACTCATCCTCATCGGTCAGAACCTCATTTCGGAGAATGATGCAGATACGATATAATATATATATATATATACATGTGTGTGAAAGCCGTTGAAAGTCTAAACGACGCAATTTCCAGCAGTGCAAGGGGTCAGTGTCTGCATTTCTGTGGCTGGGCCTCTAATGGTAGATAATTGATTCATGTTTTGTTGGGTTTGTTTGTCATGTTTGTCATGGTTATTGGCCGCAGTGACCGAGGCAGATGATGGCAAGATTGAGCCAGCAGGCCTTTCAGTTCAAGTGTGATTGCTCGTCAAACACTTTCATGCTTGCACACAATTGCACGTCTCTGGTGATTCTTGGCCTAGAGATACCTATAGACCTATAGATAAAGGATGATAATGATGATAAACGAACAAATAATTACTTGAAAGGCCTTTCTCATACGGGATTCTAACGTGCAAGGAGTGAAAGGCCTGCTGACGTTGCAGCAAGAAGTCGCCTCCCTTTTGAATTCGCATCAGTCAATGGCTCGAGGTGCTGTTCCCGAGGAGCAGAAGGATTTAGATGAAGGCAGAGTCAAACACCTCTCGTGCTACAAGTAAGCCTTAGAGCTACAGTAGCCAAAGTAGCCAACGCAGCCAAAGCCAGCTCACGGAGCTTGGGAGGCTTGGGAGGCTTGTTGAATTTGCCACGCGAATGGAGTCAGCCAGGTTCAGACTCAGATGACTCTGAGAGCTCAGCATCAAGCTTAGACTCATCATGACTCTACTCTTGGTGTCAGTGCTGGTCTCTGCAAATTTGGGCGGAAAACATCCGGTTTTTTCAGCTCTTTCCGTGCTGCAAGGAACACGAAGAGCAGGAAGATCCACGGGCGCCTGAAGTGCCTGAGGTGCCGCCTGAGGTGCCTGAGGTGCCTGAGGTGCCTGAGGTGCCTGGGCATTTCTTGGTGACATGTGCAGCTTGGTAGCTCCTTGCCATGGAGTTTTCGCCTTGGCATTCAGCAAGGTTTTTCAGAATCCTCAAGAAAGGTTCCGGGCGGTTTCACAATCAGATTTGCAGGGCTGAATTATGCTGAATTTACCAGCAATATTAGGTCGTCATTATTCATGATAATGAAAACATCATTCTGATAGAGGTTTTGAGGTTTGCTTGGGCAAAACAACTTCCATCTCATCTCGATGTGGATGCGCGTTTGGGATTGAGCTCCAAGGGTACCATCGCAATTCTCTCTGTAAAAAAGTTCTACCTCATGCAGTGGCGGGACATCTTTTTTGGTCTTGACATAACGCAGCCTCGGTTGGTGAACCTCGCGTTCATCATCACCAGTGTCATTGCCATTCCCACAATGAGCATTCTGATTGTTTGCTTTCTCTTGCTCTGCATCCCTCAAATTTCCATCAGCATCAGCCTTGTTCAGCATCATGATCTCCATCTTTCCTTCCCTTTTAAGTGTGTAGTGTGAGCATGCAAGTGTTTGTGCGCGCCCGCGTCCATGCAATGCAGTGTGTGTGTGTGTGTCAATCCTGTAAATTGTTGCAGGGTCTTGTCAGTCTCCCCCTTGAATCCTGGTGGTGTGTCAATCCTGTGACGGTGTCAAATGTCTCAGAGGGTCATGTTTTGATCCGGGAATGATCCGGGAGAGGTCAAGCTGCTTGATGAAGCTTTGCTGATTTGTCTAGCCAAGTAGCCAAGTCCTTTGCACATTGCAGGTGCAGTCCATACCTGATGGGATGACTACTGAAGCTGCTCCAGATCCTATTGGAAAGACGTTTGGAGACCAAGATTAAGTTGTGAAAGTTGTGATATGTTTCGTGACAACGTGACAACTTTCACCTGTGAGAAGTGAAGCTTAGATGTCGCCAGATGTCACTGCATGTCTGAACTCGGAGTACTGAATCATACTGGGTACTGAATCATTGTGTCAGTCATTGTTGTCAGCAGTTTTGTCATTTGCCGGTTGTAAAAAGTATCTGTCTCCAAGCCACCGAACGATTCACATGAAGCGGAATTCCTTCAAAAATAAGGCAGAGATCTTTCTTAGTGTGGCCACCACAATAATTAATTTGACATTCGCCTAGTCTGCAGTTGTTTGACTGAAGTGGCAGCGAGCTGCTTAGGAAGGCAAGAAGCAAAGACATTGCTGAAACATGTTCGCACATGTTTAGAGATCATGTTGTTGGGCTGAATTGACTACAGGCCCCTTCCTCGACGGCCGCCACCTCCCCCTCCTCCTCCCGCTCGTCGACGCATGGTCGCTTGTGATTGGAAAGACAGACCGGAAGTATTTGGAGTTCTTTCCATCTTCTCTATGTGGTCCATTTTTCTGCAAGGCAGGCCATGCACTTTACTTGGTTGTTCATCTTCAAGTGGCTCTAGGCCGAAGCTGATGCCTTCCCACGTTGGAGATACATCGCGCCAGATGGGCAGGCATCGGGTCTTGAGTTTGAAACAGATTAGTTTCCACCAGTTTCATGACGTGACACTTCTGAGCAGCTGATGGAGACTTACAGTGAATATTCAAAAATGTTCGCTGTAAATTCAACAGTCTCAATATTGGCTGGGCATAGTACTGCGTAGTACTGCGTAGTTCTGCGTAGTACTGCGTAGCTGTGCCAGGGTTTGGATGGTTTGGCCATGCTAGTTCGTGCAGGAACGCCTTGCAATTCGCTCCTCACCTGGAGTCGACGCTCCAACGACAGGCGTGGGCCTTTTTCAGCGATAGCGGGTTAAACACAGTCATTATATATTGTCATATTATATTATATGTCATTGTATGTCATTGTATGTCATTGTATGTTTCATGTTTTCATTGTTTCATACGGTCTGTAAATATTGTTTGCAGATGCACAAGGCCTGCTCTATGTTTTATTTTGCCGAACGGCAAGTGTGATTGCTTCTGCTGCACGCTTCCTTTTCCTTTTTCATAACTTTTCCCAACCCCCTCAAATGAGGCACCTAGAATGCTGCATAGCAGCCAAGTACATACAGAATGACCCAGATATCCCATTGCCGGCTGTGTTTGAAGCAAAGGCTGAGTCCAGGTGCATTATCGGACCAACTCTATGGGTTTACCGGATTTATTTATTTTATTTTATTTTCATAAATCAACAATATGTATTAATATGTTATTAGATTATCTGCCTCAGGCGGCTCACTGGGCTCTGGCGAGGCGGGCGTCAAAATTCTTTGGGTTGTGCGAAGCCGCTGATCCCTGTCTCATTTCTGTTCTTGTGGTGTATTTGTTGACCAGGATTTTGTCTCCTGGTTTTTTTCTGTTTCACCTTTCTCATACCTACGATTTAAGTTTCAAGACATGTCCTGTTTTTTGTTCCTGCTTGGAACCACTGGAAATGTTTCAGGTCTTTGCTGTAAAGGAGGAGAGCCCCGGTGCCAATGGAGTCCTCTTCTTGAGGCCACTTCAGCTTTGGTCTGGTTCCTCTTGTTCCGTCGAATTTCAGTACACGAGGGTTATTTTGAAAGCCGCATAGTACATTTAACATCATTTAACAAGTTTGATGCAAGCAGGACAGGTGGATGATGGACAGCCTGTATTTGTGCTAGTTCCTGGGTTCTTTCACGTTCTTTGACAATTTCTTCAGCATTGGAAGAAGAGCTTTGGTAGCTGAGGGCAAATGAGTAGAATATGACAGAGAATGACAAGGAAAGACAAAGAACAACAGCCAGCCCATCAGACAAACCAGCAATAATCAGTCTCTCGAAACACAATTGCCAAACAACAAGAAATATCAAGGAACGAGGAGCGAGGCCAGACTGGAGCACAAATGCAACAAAGAAGCAGAAAAAACAATTGAGTAAAGCGATGCAGGCCATTATCTCCCATATGAAAATGTCATTCGAAACTTGGCCTAGTCTTCACAAGCTGAAGGTTGCCGTACCAGCGTTCCATCTATTCACCCTTCAAGGGTCGAACAACATCATTCGAGCAACATCATTCCACTCTGGGTGATTGCCTTCAGCTAAACAGTTTAAACATGCCCCTTGCTTGTGTACTCTCAAATGTTGCGCATATCTGGTCATGCGTCCACTCTGCCTTGGAAAGCAACCGCGTTGTACAAAGCGGTTTGTTTCCGAACGTCAGACACCCCTTGTCCTTGCCCCACTCAAGATGGCGTCTATCCACACTATGGGACGCTACTTGGCAGGTTGGCAGATGGACGTGGCTGGGTGTGGCAGACCTGTTTGTCCTGACAAAGCCAGATGTCGGGACTTGTTGATCTAAGAAACGGGAAACCGCAGGCACGACACACGTGTATCTTTACAATTGCGCTGAAAACACTTAGGAAATTGCAGTCACTTCAGTTGTCTATAGCAATCCGTTCCGTTTCAATATGTTCAATGGGGTCGGATGGCATGGCTGGAAGCTGGCAGGTGTTTGATCGCAGGAGCGGTCTTGCAAGGCGGAGGAGAACCCGACCACTCTGCGTGCCATACCAGGCCGAGCCAAGCATGAGAATTTTGAGAATTTAGAATCTTGCGACTTGCGACACAACCAACATTGCGGCTAAAGAGATTCAGCAGAGTGTCTTTGGCTGCAAATCCTTCGAAGAGAGACATTTGTGTACCTTACAAACCCACGCAGAGCAAGCATGGATAAGTGTTTCATAGTGTTTCATCCGCCATGTGTCCATTGTGCTATGGACTTTTAGTCTTGGCGCATTCCCAGAGAAGATCCGTCAGATGAAACGAATCACAGGTTCCGCTCGTTGACGAAGAAGACCTGGGCAAGGCACCGCACAGTTCTGCAGTTTTGCATAGCTCACAGTTCTGTGACATATATATGCATTTGTTGCATCCGCGCAGGCCAAGAGGTCCAGACCCAAAGCAGTTGGACTTCCCAAGGCCTTTGTGCGTCGCTGCGCATCGCTACATCTTGCCTTGACTGCCTTTGAAATCAAGGCAAAGATCCTTTGCTGTGTCACAACGTCTTTAGTGCGCCCAGATCAGCAAAGGCAAAGAGGAGACGAAGACGCCAAGCAGTGATCGATCCGTACATGGATCCTCGGCCCGCATTGTACGCTTCTGTTTGTCTATAAAATATGTTGGCTTTTGTTAGTTTGTCTAAAACTGCCATCGAGCAGTGGTCCAGGTGACAGCGGACATTATACAGGCCGAGAAAAGAATTGCGAGTGCAACTCACTGTTTGGACAAAAAGGGACCTTAGTAGCGAGCGGTTCCAAATCGCTACACAATTCCACTTAGACTTGTTTTCGGTTGTCAAAGAATGTCAAAACCGGACGCGGAGCAAACTCCCCGCATGCAGGTTGATTCCGATGAAGATGCACGCTTAGCTAATCCAGCTGCTAAAGCTTCTGAATCAGCCGGGGCCAAAGTTTGAAAAAAGCAAGTTTGGGAACCCAACGCGATGACGGGGAATGAAGTTCTTCAGCTGGTTGGCTTTGGTGTTTGTTGACGGTGTGCATGGTCGCTTGAGCTTCGTCAAAGATGGTAGGGTCAGTCATGAATTCTCTCATTTTCCGGCTTTGGCTGCACTCAAAGGTTGCGCTGCTGGATTTCGTGCAATGTGTGCTTTTTGTTTTGAAAGATTCAAGAGTCCATTCTTCCCTCCCAGGGTGCCTTGAACTAATTTGATCTTTGTACGTATAGATAGCCAGGATATCCATGCTGCTTGTCTTTCCTCTATGCAACGTCTGGCAAGGACAACACTGGAAACCCTCCGAGGGAAGCAAAGGAGCCGGACAAAAGTGCCAGAGCACACTGTTTCCAAATAGCGCCACGCCGGTTTTTTGTTCAATTCATTTACCTCCAAACGAAAGTACGACCAGGTTCTTTCTGTGACACACACATCGGTGAGTCATTTTGAAATAACTTGCAATGCAAAATGATCATAATTTAATTAATTGTATTTTATTTATTTGTTTTATTGAATGATAGTTTCCAGAAATGCAGGCGTTTCTTGATGCAGCAATCGGACCATTTCGTGAACTCTAAGTGCCGCTATCCAAACACTGAGCGTTTCGCTGATGCACAAACATATAGTCTACCGTGACGACGCAAATGAAATACCTATATGAAGAATTTATGTCGATGTGTCCCAGTTCCAGAGAATGCAACCTCCTTGTTTCGCGAGGAGAACCTTCGTCTTCAGCTTGAAAAGAAGCAAAGAGAGGTTCAGGTGTTTGATGGGCTCCATGCGAAGCTGGATGCAGATGCAGTAGCCCAACATGCCGACAATTGCGCTCTCACGGAATAAGTACCATTAGAATCCATTAGATACGGCCTTGCCTCTACAGAATAAATCATACAGTATCATACATATTACATCCACCTGAGAACTTATAGAAATCCTGCAAAAGGATGCCTAAATGAGAAGCGTCCGCCTTACAGACATGATATCAAATGATGACAAATGGCAATAGACAGCTCCTAAGATTGGTCAACCGCCCAGCAAGTCACGAGAGAGCTACCTAATCCAATGGCCAAGTCGCTGCTTTTCTGCTCCTTTGCCTCCTTTGCCCATGTGCAATTTCATGCAATTTCTCTGCAAAGCGGCTGGATGAAAGGCACGAAGCGCACGAAACACTGAGTTTTTGCAGGTTTTATGGCTGTTGGGATTGCTGGAGGTATGTATATGTGGTTGGGGTGTGCGCAGGAAAGCTGTGGCAAGACTAAGAACGCGACATCAGCCAGAGTTCGGTTTAAAGAAAAACGCGCGTGGTGCAATCGGGAAGTGATGTTGAAAGGCAGTGTCGAAAAGAATCACAAGACAGCAGCGAGAGCCTGGCGTTGAAATGCACAATGCTTCACTTTCGGAGCACTTTTGAAAAATGCGGTCGGGAAAAATGTGCGGGACTGTGGGAGCTGGGTTTCTGAAAGCGCAGGCGATTCATGTTCTTCTGGGTGGAATTTATGCGCATTGGAGTTCGAGAAAGGCCGTCAACAAGGTTTCTGAATGCATTGCAGCTGCGCAAGGCAGGTTTGACTGTTGCCTGCACATGGGTTTCATGGAATGCTGCAGCTGCGAAACGTATAGCTTGTAGTTGCACAAAGCATGTCGTTTCGCGCTCTACCTGCGCGCAACTATGAAATGAAATACCGGGGTGCTGAATGCATTTCATAATCTTTGCGCGCAAAAACAGACAAGCACCTCCGAAAGGCGAAACACACTCAGAGAGCAGGTAGCTCAGAGAAGCGCGTATGCAGAGAAAGAAGAACAAAGAAGAGGTAGCTGAGCGGAGTTGGCTCAGAGAAGGGATGGCTCACAGAACAGTGTGCTGAGGGAAAAGGTGACTCAGAGAAGGGCTGGCAGAGAGAAGAAAGAGTATATAGACCCAGGGAAGAAGTAACTAGGAATACTAGGAGAGGCGGCTCAGAGAGGAGTTGGCTCAGAGGCCCAGCAAAGAAGTAGCTCAAGGAAGAGGTGGGCCAAGAGGCAGCTGAGAGAAGAATTGGTTCGAAGACAAAGTAGCTAGGCGAGGAGTTAGCTCAGACAAGCGCTTGGGCCCTTGGGCTCAGAAAATAATTAGCTCAAAGCAGAGCCACCTCAGAGAAGAAATGGCTCAGAGAAGCATTGGCTCAGAGAAAGGGTGCCTTAAAAGAGTTGCATCAGAGAAGCATTGGCCCAGCCAGAAGAAGTGGTTCAGAGAAGAGCTAGCTCGGACTTCTTGTTGTTTTAGGGAAGAGGTAGCTTAGAGACCGTTAGAGTGTAAGAGAAAGGTTGGATTTTGTTTGAAATGATTCAATCGTTCGATTATGCAGCTTTTCAGGCCTTTGCTCAGCCATGCAAGAAGTCTATCAAAGAAACGCAGAGGTCAGTAAGCCACCCGCCCTGTCCTTTACATACCTACTTTTTTTCAAAACATCCATGCCCACACAATATTGCCACGCCGCATATTTTGTCAGGGACTAAGGCCTACCCTCCATGCAGCCACAGGGATCTTCAGTGCATTGCGACGTTCAGCCGTGTTTGCATCATGTGTCAGTAGGTCTTTTCGTTTTCCGTAGAGAAGGAGTCATGTGCTGGTTCGGGTCTTTTTTTAAAACTTGATGCACCAGGATCTCAATTGTTTGCAAGAATGGATGAAATATATATATAATATACGGGATCAATTCTTGCCAACATATATTGAGATAGTACATATATGGATGAAACATCCTCACGGGATAGTTGGGCGATAGTACGGGAGCTCCTCACAATATCCCCTTGTCATCCCTTGTTTGTCTTTTATAGTGGTTGCTGATGGTTGCTGCAGGGCTGGTAATTGGAAGGTCCGCCGTTGATGCACATGGCATCAAGCGGGATTTCCTGGTGGGCGCAGGCTCTTCGAGCAAAACTTTCGCAGCTAGATGCCCAAAAGGACTGCTGGGAATTAGTTTTCTATTGAGGAAGGCCCAGCAGGCATTCTGGGGCAAAAAAGCGTCTCCAGGAACCGTCCAGATCACAGAGGCCGGGCGCTCAGGCTGCCGTTTGCCAATTACTTTTCCGTCCAAAGAGATCCAAGCCACCAAAAGTACCTGTACAAGGCGGGCAGTTTCTCCAACCGCCACCACCAGCTGCTTTTGCCACTGCTACTGCTACTGCTCCTACCCTACGCTTAGGCCTATTCCTACCCCGCTTCTATTCCTACTGTATTCCTTTACTGCTCCTAGAAAGTCGTAGGAGGTAGGAAGACCAGCGTTATTGTTTTATCTATTTTTTGTTGTGCTTTTCTGCTCGATGGCGCGCAAAAGTCAGAGTTGTAAGGCTTGCTTCCGCGGATCCAAAGCAGGTCCAAGGAGCAGGTGCGGAAAAGTATTGTTATAAAGCATTGCTGAGTGTTTTGAGAAACACAAAAAAGTGATAGTAAAATCAGTAAACAATGAGGTTTCTTTGTTTTGCTGTTTTCATCTTGGCATAGCATGTGGAGCTTGAACAGCCCATCCATGGTGCTGGCAGCACAATCCACCAGGACGCTGGCACAAAGCCGAGGCGCCTTTATTTTGCAGAGGGCAGGCCAAAATACATGAAACATGTTTTCTGCCTTGGCATAAATCGAAAATCAGTATATAAGACATTGGGAGGCCAAGATCGAATCTTGATGTCCATTCCAACCTTCTATTTGCAGATGTTGCATGAATTTGTGTGTGTGTGAAGTCTGCGCGTCCAATTTTGGAGGCAACGGACCAGATGCTAGATGAGAAGCGCCGTGAACTACAGGACCGGACGCATGATCAAAACAAGACGGGGGATCTTGCAAACTCCGTCCAACATGGCAACACAGAGAGAGAGAGAGAGAAAGAGTGAAATAGCCCGACAATATCAGATCACAAAATTCAAGAATTGTAGGGTCTTTAGAAATCAGTATGCAGTGTAGTGTTTTGAATCCGTTTTCCCCTCCCGTATGAGTGCACCTTGCACTCGCCACTGCGTGAGTGGAAAAGGCGATGCTGGCGAAGAAGAGGCTTGACTCGGCTTGACACTTCAGACAGTGCGTGAACACGCCATCATCTAAGACTAAGCGCCTGACATAATCTCTCAGACTTTGTCGCTTCTTGCTTGGCTGTGTGGCGTGGCCAGAGTCAAGTTTTTTTGACGAGCAACCGATGCACTTAACAGATGCATGCGCCCCAATTGAATTTTGCTGATATGTTCAGATTTGAGAGCCCGGCAGGGCAATGAGCGCAGCAAGGCTTCAAAAGACAGCCCCGCGATATGTGGACTGATCTGGTGTTAGATGGAAACCTGAATTGCAGCGGACCAGCGGGCCGGTCAAAATTGCGATTCGCTGCTTTTGTACAGAGCGTGAGAATGAATACTGGTCGCAGCAGACCGAGCCCTGATCAGAGATGCTTAGATTGCGCTGGGGAAAAATCATAGGTTCAGTCCGGAGGCTTGTGCCACAGGTTTGCAACTCAAAGCCTCCAATGCGGCATGAGGTTGAAGTTGTGTGTTCTTTTCGGGTCGGGACAGTTGATATTTGATGTTGCTTGCACTTGCACGTTTGAAAGAACTTCGAATGAGCAGTGTCCTCCACTAGGCTCGCATTCTACTCCGCTGTTCAGCAACATGTTGATCGTCCTCATCTGTATTTTCTTCAGTCCTGACGCTATGTCATGATTGTGCCGTCTTTGTAAAGACTGTTTTGGGAAGACTGTTTGGCAAAGGGGCTGAAGGTACATGACGCAACGAGTGGAACATGTGTTCAGAAAGACTCACAATGAATTTGATCCAAACTTTGGTCAACCTTGTAACTACTGTAGTTGTAATTAAGATTGTTTGGGACGGCATTCAAAAACCTACAGGATTGATCAAAGTCAGCACTGCAGATTTGTTCGGTGCTGCGGAGTTGCGTTAAGGCAGTTGACACTTCGCCCGCAGACATATGCTCAAAGACAGCAGAGAAAGCGCCGGACCTCAAGACGATGTACGGCGTGCTGCCACTGGGTTTGCTCCTGGGGCTCCCAGTACTTGCGGCTGGTAATGGCTGCACTGCGACGCAGATTCAGAATGACTTGCTTCCAAGCCACGCAACGCCATCCAGTTGTTGGACAGTGATTGTAGTAAACCGCCAGAAGATTGTCTACGACATCACAAAGCTAGTATCAAACCATGAAGGAGGACGAAGAGTCATTGAGCAAATGTGTGGTCGTGACGGAAGTATTGGCTTTTGGTGAGGCCCTTAGTTTTCAGGGGGAACTTGATGCTTTGCCGAAACATTGTGTGATTTTTGGTATACGAGTCTCCACCAGAGCTGTCAAAGACCACGTCAAAATCAGCGAGTTCTAGTCAGAAATCCTGGTCAAAAATGTGCTTGCAGCCTTTCATTTTTACTGCCTAGGACTTGGTGTCGTTCTTGTATTGGATGTGCTGCTGTCACATGCAACCCCGAGATTCGTAAACTGAGCAAACAAAAAGTTGCCTGAAAATTGTGTCCCATGGTATTGTTGTGCAGTACACCTGGTTGGCGCTAAAGCGCAGCGCAAGAAGCACAAGCCAAAGAAATGCAAAGCAAGAGTTATAGCGTCCATGGTGCAATCTTCAGAACCAGCAGAAGTCAAGGATACCTGAATAGAATTGGAAGTAAGGAAGGCAATAAGGTTCATATCACACCAACATACCAACTGTCCCCGCAGCTTAGGTGTGTGCACGGCATGGAGGACTTGCAAGAGTCGATTGATGACGGAGATGCCACAGAAATTTGCAGAACAGCTGCAAGCGCTCGGCGTCTTGACAGTCTTGACAGTGACAGTGACCGGCGTCTTGCTGCATGGGATGAAACAGATGAGGACGATGATGAAGGTATTCGAAACTCCTGTGCAGCAGGCGGCTCGCTTCCTTCAGCTCCAGCCACGCAAATTCTTGCAAGTGAAGTGGCAAATCATAAGACTTCAGATGATTGCTGGACAAGTATGACACAAGGGACAACGAAAATAGTCATGGACATCACCAACTACATGACACTCCATCCCGGTGGAAAAGCCTACATCCTGTCCATGTGTGGAAAGGATTCAACGGCAGCATTTCAAGTCTACCATCCCTTGACCTACGTCACAGAGGCAGTAAGGCATGGCTACGTCATTTTGAAGGGCCAGCTTTCCGGAACCTACCCGGTGATCACTACCACTACGGTAACACTTGCTCCTGGGGTAACAACCACAACCGGCCCAAGCTCTTCGCCCCAGACTAAAGTCACTGCTGCAATTCTCGGGCAACATGCAACAGCTTCAGACTGCTGGGGGCGCATTGGATCTTGGGTAGTGGATATGACTTCTTTGCTATCATCACATCCTGCTGGCAGTTCCATGCTGATTTGTGGCGCAGATGTCACAGCATCGTTCCGAAGCATTCATGCAGATTCATACATCTCGCGAATGCCTGTTGTGGGCACTTGGGATGACACGGTGATCAGAAGGCCGGCTCCTACACCTGCCCCTGCTCCCGCACCAGTAACAGCAGCTCCGACGCCAGCTCCTGCTCCAGCTCCGCCTCCACAGATTGTTGGTGGGCAGACATCCATTTTGAACCCGCAGGTGTGGAACTTACAAAGACAGTCAAAGTGCAATCAAAACTGACATCAATTGTCTCCTGCCATGTGCTGATGCAATCTGATGCATATTGACGTATATTGGCGCATGCCAGATCATGCAACCAATCTCAAAAATGATGGTTCTTCTCAGTTTGTCAGTTTCTCCTTCTTGCTCTAAAAGTATGTTTGAACATGATGATGGATGGTAGAGGCACAATGGGACATCATTCGTATTTTTGTGTTTGGTTGTGGCTTTTGGATGAATTGCTGCAAGGTGCCTAGCGAATCGCAAGAGCTGGTTTCATTGGAAGCGATTGCTGTTCACAATCAAAAAGCAGATTGCTGGGTGGCTTTGCGCTGCAAGGTTTACGACATGACGCCTTTCATTCCTCTCCACACAGCAGACAAGTATGCTTCAGCAGGAAATGGTGCCATTGAGAAATTGTGCGGCTCTGATGCAACCGCGGGATTTGAAGCGGTGCATCCCATCTCTTATATTGACGTGTCTGTCTCCATGGGGGCAGTTTCCCAAGGTTCTCTCGCGGGCTGTGGTTCTGCCGCTTCGAACACGCAGACCACGCAGGCCACACAGACCACGCAGACCACGCAGGCCCCAACCAGCACAGCTGCACCTGCAACCACCCCGCCGGACTTGGTCCCCGTAAATGCAACACTTTGGTATGACCTCCGCTTCCCAAATTTGGTGGCTTCATCACAGGACTTGACCAGCGTTCAAACAGAGACATCTTTGTCAGTAGCTATTGCACATACAATGCATCAGCAGGGGCTTAGCAATGTGAGGTGCCTTGTCACCAGTCTCACCCCTGGAAGCATTCAGGCCAGGGTGGGCCTTTTCATGACAGATGTTGGCCAGCTTGAAAATGCCCGGCAATTTGGCAGGAATCATTTTACAAAAGTAAGCTGGCTGAACGATTCACCTACAGTGCAGGGGACTCCCACGCTTGACGTTGGCTACGCAACCTCTACCGCAAGCACTGCGGGCACTGCGGGCACAGGGACATCCTTCCCTGTCTACACGATCAATCAGGTCCGAGATCACAACAGCAATGTCAACTGTTGGATGGCCATCCATGGGAAGGTTTACTCTTTCATGGGTGCAGGAGGGGCCCATCCTGCAGGGAACTTCCTATCGCTTGGGCTCTGTGGAGTTGAGGCTAGTGCCACCTTCGATTTGCATCATCCTTTGTCATATTTGGGCATCTCCGCGCTCAAGAAGATTGGCGGTGCTCAGGTTGGCACGCTCTCATCCGCTTCGGCAGAAGATGCTGGGCGCGTGTACCCGCGTCCATCACCCGTTCAAGTCCTTCCAAACATTCAGGTCACGCTGAGCGGCGGCTCAACTGATTTCCTTCAAAAGCACAACCTCGGCCGGGATTGCTGGATGGCACTTCACGGTGACGTTGCTTAGCTGAAAGGGTCTGTATTGGGGGAAGAAAGACGCGCAATGAAACGTGATTGAAAGGTATAGGTGTAATTTGCTACTTACATGATGTCACTCAACAAACACAACACAATGCCGGCTACATTTTGCAGCTACAGTCGAAACAGATAAGTTTGACAAATCTTCAGCTCAGTAGTGCTCAATCAGTCAGTCTTGCTCAATCTGCATGCAACATTCATATACACTTGTTTGGTCAAATGCCCATGTTCCTAGCTTGACATGCAAGGTGTACGATGCCACTTCAATGCTCGGGCAGCATGATGGGGGACGTGCAAACGTTGAAGCGCTGTGCGGCTTAGATGCCACGGCTTCCTTCGATTGTATTCACGGAATGGGAGAAATCCAAGAAGCGATCCAGGATTATGGTATCAGCAAGGTTGGCACTACAAATGTCGTACTAGGGCAAGGTTGTACTTTCCAACTGCAAGCAGGAATGCTCCCAGATCGCCAAATTGCTTGGGCTGAATTGGCCATGCATTCAACCACTCAAGACTGCTGGATTATCCTTGGATCGCAGGGTATTGTTTGGGACGTCACTGCTTACTTGCCCAAGCACACAGGCGGAGCATCAAGTGTCGGCATGCACTGCGGTGGAGATGCAACGGGTGCTTTCGACAAGAATCACAAAGTAGGCTACCTGACGACCATCGCTCAGAAAGGCGGCTTCCCCCAAGGTGTGATCAGTGGAGAGCCGCCAGCATTGGATTCCGGCTCTGTGCAACTTAACCCCTTGCAGATGAGCGAGGTCCAAAAGCATAACATTGCGGCAGATTGCTGGGTGGCTGTTCACGGCTATGTCATGGACATTACTGGGTAACTTGGCTTTTCTCGTTGACTTCCTTGTGTTCCAGGTTCCAACACTTCCAATGCTTTCATACACGGCCTGTCCAAGATGATTGAACAATTGTTGAAAGAATCACGCAAGTTAACAAAGAATAGTGAATAGTGTTACAGTAAGTAGTTTTGGCACTGTTCGATGGCTCTGGAGCCAGCAACATCACGGGAAAAGATTGAGAGACTGAGACCGGACGAGCTGCAGGGGCAAGGGCGAGAAATCGGAGGAGACAAGCAGACAACAAAGGACGCGCAAAGGGTGGCAATCTGCCAGAAGTCAAATCCTGCATCCCAGACAACCCGCAGAGAAGAAAACAAACATGTGGAAAAAGCCCTTCTTCGCCAAGCACACCAGCCTTTCAACACAAAGCGCGTGAACGGGCTTGGGGGGAGCCACGTGGAGTGATCAGGAATGATAAGGTGCTAAGATACATTCAGGATGCGAGCAGCAGACATACTGAAATACATGTATGATCATGTATGTTATATATTTGTGTATCTCACTCATGCTTTGTGATTGGCTCACGTCTCTATAAGTTGTTCCGTCATAGAATACGTGGGTATATAGTTATAGTGAATTGTAGACAGATGTAGACAGATATTTGAAGATTGTTCTGAGCGAGTGTGTGTGTGTTCTTCTGTATTCTTTATGCCGGTTTGGGTTTTCATTGCGAGATTGCACCAAGGTACTTGGATCGACACTCAGGAGGTCGTCAGAGCTTGGTTACATTGTGCGGTAAAGATGGCACGGCTTCCTTTGACAGCGTCTCCCATCCCACAAGCTATATCACCATGATGGTCCAAAAGCGTTTTGCCACAATGAAAGGACGCCGCCTCCAAGTCAGTGTTTGAAGCCTCTTTAGAAACATTTAATATTTAATATCGCTTTATCTTACATGCGGCATACCCGGACAATATTTGTGTATATCTCTATCTATATACATTGTATACAGTGTTTTCGTTCTTGGGGAGAAAGCAACGGGATAAAGCAACGTGAGCAAGCGAACCAAGCAGCCACGCAGGATGCGTGGGCAGTTGCACGACAAACGGTGCCACTGTGACCAGCGGAAGTGGCATTGGCACTTCTCCAGAGCTGACAGGCCCAAAAGCTACAGTTCCTGCCCGAGAGTGCCGTGCTGATGAGCCAACACCACCTGCAGTGACTGTGACCAATGCCGAATTGCAAAGCCACAGCACAGCCACGGACTGCTGGATGGTCCTCGGCTGTGGTGTTTACGACATTTCGAGCTACAAGCACAGCGGAGGGAACATTGTCCATTCTTGGTGCGGCAAGGATGGCACAACATCCTTTGTTGGGAAGCACCCTTGGTCGTATCTACAGGTGATGTTGGGTATGAGCGCAACGCTGATTGGCAAATACAGTGGCACTCCTATTGGGTCTAGCGTTGGCAGGCAAAATCCTATTTCGCTGGCTGAAATTGGACGGCACAACACGCCAAAGGATTGCTGGTCATGCATTCATGGAACTGTGTATGAACTGCATTTCTATTTGCCGGATCACGACGCAGGCGGATATGCTGAAACCATAGCGGGTTGTTTTGAATGTGCTAGGAGGAAATGAGTAAAGTTTCTTCCAAGCCTTTAAAATGGGCCGGGACTTTTCAGCATCAGTACAGACCAACTTGTAGGTGATTCTGGTTGTCCTCTTTGTATTGTTTTAGCTCGCACTGGGCGGGTAGAAACCCGTGCGCTTTTTGATTGCCATGAGTAGATTTGCATGGTATTTGCTGCGCATTCATGTTTTTCCACATCTTGAGGCCTTTACGGACTAGCTGTGTTTTCCACAATGGAACCATGATTATGAAGTTTGACATGCGCGATTATTCTTCTTTGCTGAGTCACTTTCATGTGCAAACCAGCATGTCCCAACGCTGGAAGTTCCCTGAGAAAGGAAAGGCCGTAGCATCAAGAGTGTGCTGCAAGTTACTTGAGAAAGATAAGATCTTAGCGTCAAGAGCGTGTTGGAAGTTACTTCAGAAAATAACGTAGCATCAAGACCGTGTTGGGAGTTACTTGAGAAAGTTAAGAGCTTAGCTTCAAGAGCGTGTTGGTAGCTACTTGAGAAAGGAAAGAGCATAGCATCAAGAGCGTGTTGAAAGTTACTTGAGAAAGAAAAGATTGTAGCGTCAAGAGCGTGTTGGAAGTTACATGAGAAAGAAAATATTTTAGCATCCAAAGCGCGTTGCAAGTTACTTGAGAAAGAAATGATTGTAGCGTGAAGAGCGTGTTGGAAGAAAAGGCAACAGGACATTTTTACCCCCCTCCGACCCCACCCCACTCCACACCACCCAACCCGCCCACCCCCTGCCCACAATCGTCAACGTAGCATCCACATAGCGTGCCATCCATGATGAGGTGTTTTGCGAACAACGCTACGACCGCTAGCGCAGTCTTCACCTATATCTTAAGAATCTAACGTCAACTTCAACAACTCATGATGAACAATTAAAGGACCGGATAACCCCACATGTCAAGCCTTCATGTATCTAAGCTTAATGTGAACTTCCGGGAGGTGTGAGAAGTGAGGTGTGAGAAGTGGACTTGTGATGTCAGGTGTGAAAAGTGGAGCTGTGATGAGTTCTGATGTGATAAGTGAGGTGTGAGAAGTGGTGTGAGAAGTGGAGCTGTGATGAGTTGGGATGTGATAAGTTGCGATGAGTTGTGATTAGAAGTTGTGATGTGATAAGTGAGGTGTGAGAAGTGAGGTGTGAGAAGTGGAACTGTGATGAGTTGGGATGTGATAAGTTGTGATGAGTTGTGATGAGAAGTGGAGCTGTGATGAGTTGTGATGAGCAGTGGAGCTGTGATGAGTGAGGTGTGAGAAGTGGAGCTGTGATGAGTTGGTATGTGATAAGTTGTGATGAGTTGTGTTGTGATGTGTACTGCGCCTGCCATCACAAGGCAGCCCCGGCCCCAGCGGCGCCCACGCGCGCCGCAGCTCCTCCAGGAGGCTCTGTGTACTGCGCCTGCCACGCCAAAGGCAGCCAGGAAGCTATCTGCACAGTGAGTGAATGAGTGAGTGAGTGAGTGAGGGGCGCGGCGGCGGCGGCGGACGGAGGAGAGCGGCGGGATCCAAGCGAAAAACAAGAACCCCACACAGTGATGTGGGGAATAAGTCAGTACATCTTCAGCGGGTCCAAAAAGTCATTTTAAAAAAGCACTGATTCATTGCGAGTTTCTACCAGCCCGACACCTTTTACTTTTCAGCATCAGTACAGCTTTTTTCTAGCAGGTGGTTCAGCACAGACCAACTTGAAGGTATTTCTGTCTGTCCTCTGTGTATTGTTTTAGCTTTGTGTGCTTTTGAAAAGTTTTGTGCAGTTCTGTGAAAACATGTTTGCTTCGGTGCCCATTCCTGCTATTCCTGCTTACCTGAAAAACGCGCACCTGAAGTTGCAGTATGCTGCACATGCCGCTTCAAGAGCTGCATTGCATCCAACGTGCGAGGGAAGTGATGCTTTTAAGTTGTAGCCACAAGGTCCAGAGCTCTGGGTTTGCCTTGCAGTTTTTTTTCTGTTTTCGATCACTATCGAAACTATCGAAGTTGGTATGTCTTTTTCATTTCTGCTGATGCATGGATGTTACATTATGTTACCCTTGTTTTTGTTTTAGCTGTTGCTCTTCATGAGCCAGCTCAGGTGCCTTCAAGTTGCTAGGCTATGGTTGGTCGGATCGTAGTCTTTGCCCGCCTCTGTCCTATTTCTGCTTTAATTTCCGAAAAGGCTGTTTTGTTGATGTTGCGTCCGGACTTGCCAGATGTTAGCCGAACATCTAAGTGATGACAGCCGGTGATGCTTCCGTTTAACTTCTTGCTCGTTTCTGTTGGTGTGTTTTTGTGAAACGGCTTAAAGACATCATGGGCCCAAGGAGAAGGGAAACTTACCTTGATGTTCGTTTTGTTTGGATTGTTTATTGACCTTTGCATAGGAAGGAGCTGTGCTTATTGTTTCCTGTTGCGATTTTGAGCCAATTCCATCCAAGTCTTGCCATTCTGCTGCCGGACTCCGTGTACTCTTTGGCTGCTTTTGCTGCTCTGTTTGCTCGCCCCTCCATGGTGTGGATCAGTAGATGCTCCTTCGACCACAACGCGCTACAAGGATTTTCAGCATTTTTCAGGTGTTTTTTAGGAATTCTGTCACGAGATTGCAGGTGAGCTTGTTGTTGTGGTAATATAGGCTGGAACCAGGAGGGTTGCTCACGCATAGTGGTGTCGTTTGGCCGCTCTGGGAGCAGAACCCGTTCAAAGTTTTAAAGATTTGAACGGGAGAGCGTGCTGTACTGCTGCATTTCAAATGCTTGTTCTTGCAAGCTGTAGTTGGTATTGCGACGGCAACAAGGGCTAGTGAGAAGGGTTCCGGGCCCTCTATCACATACTTTTTTGGCTGCTGCAAAGAGACTGGCATCCCTGGGTCTTGATATTTTTATGTTAGGTGAAAGGACATGAAAGAACTTTGTGCTTGAATCTGAAGAGTCTAAATTTGGAATGAACCTGCACGTCGACTCCTCACGGGCGGCACAATCGCCATCACCATTGCAAAACGTACGTTGAATTGTTCTCTTGTATTGCCTAAAGGCTCCTCATCGACCACCCTCAGTCCAACGTGGCCACGCTTCTTTCTTTCCCAAGCATTTTAGCAATGTGCAGTTGGCATCCGTTCCACAGACGGCCGTGTAATTGTGTATTTGGAGCCCGACCCAGTGATCATCTCCTGCCATTTTTGTGTTTTTGTGCTGGTGGTGTGGGATGGGGCGGGGTGGGCTATAATAACGTTCATTTGCATGTCTAGGCATACATCACGCTACGCTACTGTACGTTCTCTTGCACTTCCACACATACGTCTCCATGCTACGCTACTGTACGTTCTCTTGCACTTCCACACGTACTTCATGCTACGCTGCTGTACGTTCTCGTGCGTTTCCACACATAAGTATACCACGCTACATTCTTTTGCACTTCCACAAATACGTCATGCTACCGCATTGCTGGCCACACCAAAGTGTCTTGGACAGTTCTGGCCAATGCTGATTCAATGGGTGTGGCGTCAAACGCTGCAAGCACTCAGACCAGCTTTGTTTCTGCAGAAGCTGAAAGCTTTGCTGGCTGAAAAGTGGCCAAACGCGTTGCAAAAAATCTGCTCTCTGCAGAATGGAAGTATGGAACTCTTACAAAACTATGTGAAACGTAAACCAAACGTATGACACATTCTATGACAGCATTGTGAATTGAGAAAAGCGCGCAAGAAATTCCACATTGAAACTCGACGCGGTGTCACAAACATGAAAACATATGGAATTCTGGTGTCAAATACATCAATGCACGCGTTCATCCAGCAACCTTGATTGAGCGGTTACAAACCCAGCCACAATTCCACACAGCCGTCTACGGAACGGGAACCTAGTTTGATGTAGTTTGTATGTACTTGTTAGATGCTCATACTGCCCGACTCTTCTGTTCCATCGCTTTGTTTATGCGCAAGCGCCTTTCAGCATTTTTTTGCATTTGCACACTTGTTGGATTTGCGCAAAGGCCTCCCAAACTCTTCTCTTCACTGCCTGTTGGCCAAAAACCAAAGAGTGACATTGCAAACCTGGTTTGACGTTGCCGATGCTTGCAAGCATATGGTCTTGAATGCTTCGAACATAGAATTCCGTAGATCCAGTCCCTTTGGCGCAGTCCACCCTGCAGGCAGTGCGGTAATAGAACCTATGTGCGGGGAAGATGCAACGGCATACTTTGCAATGGCTCATAGCATGGAGGCTTTGGGTGGTTTGCCAAAGAAAGGTTCTTGTGACAATCGAGCTGAGCAAGCTTTTACTGAGCAAAACATTTTGGATGGTGCAGCTTTGGTTTCCTACATCATCCTACCGATGTTCTTCAATGAAGTCATTTTGGCCGCAACTTCTCCAGCTGCGCAAGATCGGCTGCTGCGACGTCCTATGGCAAAGCCATTCAAATCCAAATGTTTGGGAAACTTCTTGAACAGCTATGTGGAGATGCCCTTAGGTGTTTTCTTCATGGTGGTTTGGTTCTTGATTGTGACTGCTGTCCTGTCGGTTTTTTGGTCGATCCATTACAACGAGTACTACCTTCCAGACTTCGTCTTGGCCGGTTGGGTTGGCAGAATGACAGTGTATATGATCTCTATGGCAACATATTTGGGCACTCGCCGTTGGTCCTTGGCGTGGGTCTTCTACAAAATCTCTTACGAGAAGACCTTGAAGGCTCATTATGTCATTGGCAATGTGGCCAGCATTTTTATGCTTGTGCACGGAGGCATGTACATGGCATCATTTGGGCCTAGAAATCTTCCTGAGCATCAGGTGACTACGGCCTACTTGCTTTTGGGATGCATTCTGGTCGTATTTCCTTTCACCATCAACAATTTCAGGGTGCACTACTATTTTGTTTTCAAGGTCACCCATTTCATAGCCCCGGCAATCACAATCTTGGGGACCTTACACATATTGTCATTGCATGTGGATGGTGAGTTGGGCCGTGGATTTTGGGTCGCGTTGGTGTGGATTGCTTCGGCGTCTCTATTCTGGCTGGGGGACTTCATCTACAGCCGCTACGATGTACTCTTGAGGCCAACAGTGGTGATTGGAACTCCGCGATTGTTGCCGGCCGATGGAGGGCCAGCTCATATTTGCGTGAAGTTGCGGAAGCTGAGGGCTACTCTCTTCCCCGGTGCATGGATGTCGGTCGGTTGCAGAGAGGCCTTTTCACCTTTGAGCCACCCTTTCACCGCAATTGTTCGAAAGTGTGGTGGCTTAGATCGAGAGTACGCTGAAGTGGAATTCATTTTCAAAGTGAATGAGGGAAGGACATGGACCCAAAGGCTTTCAAACGCAATCGCTAAGCTCTCACCAAAACAACCTATGAAATTCTTTATGACTGGGCCCTATGGTGGTGGCTTGGGATCTCTTGATCCAATGAAAGTCATTATTTTCGTGGTTGGTGGTGTCGGTGTCACTCCAGCAGCGTCCTTGGCCCCTTACTTGGTGAAGCGTGGCAAAGATGTCTATGTGATTTGGAGCTGCCGCAGTGCTTCGCTAATTCAGCATGTCGCAGTCGAGTACTTCAGCAATGCATGCCATTCCTATTTCGATCGCCAACCAGACCACCGGCACATTCATTACAGTGGGAAGGGAAGCGAAGGCCACGTGTTCCCACCCTTTGTCAAGACAGGACGGCCAGACGTGGCCGGCGTTTTACAAAAAGCAGCCAAGAGCGCCATGTCCCAAGACATTTTCGACCTTGGTGTTTTTGTTTGTGGACCCAATGCATTGGTGGAGTCTACCTTGATGGCAGCAGATGAATTCAATGCAGACAAGACAAATGCCCACATCCATGTACATGCTGAGTCCTTCCAAATGTGAGGCTAGAGAACTGGCATGAAGTTAATAAGTGGCATGAAAGAAGTGCCACACAGTTGGAAGCCGATGTTTGAAAAAAAGCGTCTCTTTAGCACCTTGTGCAGTAGTTTGGTTTCTATTGATCGCCCGCGGCCAGACAATCAAGTACTCGTTACTGCCAGTGTTGCAGTCGGACAAGCGCCTTCAGTGGAACTATGCCAAAGTTGAAATCTGAGCATAAACATCGAAGGCCAGAGGAACCCAAGGCTCAAACACTGTTTGGACAGTCAACAGCGCAAGCCGGAGCAATCCAGATTCTGGACGTTCTAGAATTTGACACTACAAACTCTCGGATGTGTTGTTTTTTCATAATCAGAGGATGTAAGTAAGTCCGAAAGACGAATCCTACTAATCAGTCACCACAAGCATTCTTTTCGGGCCGCTTTTCGTCAGTTTTCTGGAAATCTATCAAAAAATCGAAAAGTTGAAAAAACACTAGGTTTTTATTGTTGTTTTAATCAGTTTTTCGGTTTTTGTCAGTTTTGTCAGTTTTCTTTGCGTTTTTTCCGTTTTTTTCAGTTTTCTGTCTATTTTTTCCGTTGAGTTTGTAGACACTGTAAATCGAACTGAAGAAAAAAATTAAAGGACCGGATAACCCCACAAGTCAAAGGTGGTGGTGGAGAATCAATAAGTTAAAAAAGAGTTGTATGTGGAAGAATTGCGTATGTGTGTGTGTGTATGTGTGCCATCTGTAAAGATGTAAAACTTTATTATGCTGCAGGGGCGTGTGGCACTCATGTCCTATCATACGCAATGAAGCTGTGGACATGAGCGGGAAGGGAAACGTGGCCAGTTTCCTGTACCTGCTGCTTTATGTATAGTCCCGCCCCTGGGCGTATATAAGTCGCGCAGCTGGGAGGGATATTTATATTTCATCGCTATTGGTTTATATGCAATTTTTACTGTGATTATACGTCTATAGATATATATATATATACCAGTAGTACCGCACAAGGCAGTGGCAGAAGTTTCAAAAATAGGAAACCTATAGGAGAGGTTGGTTGTTGTGAGTCACGGATGGCAGAGCGAAGCCACTGATGGACAGACAGGTGGTTGAGGTCTCTTCTCTTTCTCTCTCTTTCTGTTTCTTTCTCTGGCTATCTACCTACCTACCCACCTATCTATCTATGTATCCACCTATCTCTCTCTCTCTCTGTCTATCTATCTAACGATCTATCTATCGATCTGTCTATCGATCTATCTATCTATCAGTCTATCTATCTATCAGTCTATCTATCTATCTTCTCTATCTCTCTATCTATCTATCTATCTAGCTGTCTATCTATCTTTCAATCTATCTATCTATGTGTCTGTCTATCTATCTATCTACCTATCTATCTATCTCTCTCTCTCCTCTCTCTCTCTCTCCCCCTCTCTTTCTCTCTCTCTCTCTCTATCTAATCTAACCTAACCTAATCTAATCTAATCTAATCTATCTATCTATCTACCTATCTATTTATCTATCGATCTATCTATCTATCGATCTTCTCTGTCTACCTCTCTCTCTCTCTTTGTCTGTCTATCTATCTATCTAATGTGATCTGATCTAATCTGATCTAATCTAACCTAATCTAACCTAATCTAATCTAATCTAATCTAATCTATCTATCCTACCCTATCCTGTCCTGTCCTATCCTATCCATCTATCTATCTTATCTATCTTCTCTTTCTTATCTATCTTTTCTTTCTTATCTATCTTTTCTATCTATCTTTCTATCTATCTATCTATCTATCCATCTATCGATCTATCTATCTATCTGTCTATCTGTCTATCTATGTATCTATCTTATCCATTTTCTTTATCTATCTATCTGTCTATCTATCTATCTATCATTCATTCCATTCTATCTAGTCTTTCTAATCTATCTATCTATCTTTTCTCTTTCTTTTCTCTATCTATCTTTCTAATCTTTTCTTCTTCTTTCTCTTCTCTTTCTTTTTTCTATCTTTCTTCTCCTCTTTTCGTCTCTTTTCCTTCTATCTTTATCTATCTTTTCTTTCTTGCCTGTTCTTCTAATCTTTTTTTCTTTCTTTCTTTTCTTTCTTCTCTTCTTTCTTTTCTTCTTTTCTTTTTCTCTTCTTTCTTTTCTTTTCTTTCTCTATCTTTCTTCCTCTATCTTTTCTATCTTTTCTTTCTTTCTTCTTTTCTTTTTCTTTCTTTCTTTTCTTTCTTTTCCTCTTCTTTCTTCTTTCTTTCTTCTTTTTTCTTATTCTCTATTTCTTCTTCTTTCTTCTTTTTCTGTATCTTTTCTATCTAGTCTTTCTAATCTATCTATCTATCTTTTCTATCTTTTCTATCTCTATCTATTTTTCTATCTATCTATCTATCTCTCTTTCTATCTATCTGTCTTATCTATTTTATTTATCTATCTGTCTATCTATCTATCTATAATTCATTTTATTCTATCTAGTCTTTCTTATCTATCTACCTATCTATCTATTTTTTTATCTGTCTATCTATGTATCTATCGATCTATTTATCCATCCATTTATCTATTTATGTATTCTATGCTTATCTATCTGTCGTTCTTATCTTATCTTAACCTATCTTGTCTTATTTTATCTTATCTTACTCATTTTTTTTTGTACTATCTTATCTATCTCTTTATTTTTCTATCTATCTATCGATTTGATCTATCTTTCTATTTATCTTTTTATTCTATCTAATCTATCTAATCTACCATCTAATTTGTCTGTCTATTTGCTTGCATGAAAACGAAGCTATTCTGTAATACTTCGTACCAATGTGTTTTGCGATTTTTCCACTCCACCTGTCGAAAGTATTGTGCCTGCCACGAAAAACTGATACCAGGTCATACGAAGTACTGCACCTGTCTGTCACGCAAAATTATTTTAGCAAATCGCAAGATTTGATACACCAAAATGCAACCCCTCGCAGGAAATCACCCCCTCACCTCCTCAGAGCTCCGATGAAGATGTTTTTCGTATTGTGCCTGCCACGGAAAAATTACTTTTGTAGATCCTCTTCAAATGTCCAACACCTACCATCCTTTTTGGAAATGGTATAAAACCCTCACGTTGTGCTCATTTTGACAAGGTCCACAATCCCTTGCGCCTGCCACGCAAATCGACATCTGAACCTCCAAAAGAGGATTATACATGTGGTGCTTTGTACATGTTGACTTCGAAATGTGCTTCGCGCCACAACTGCGTTGCGTGCAATTTTTCATCTCTCATCTGGCCAGCTGGCTCCGCACCCACCGCTGTAGCGAGCCTACTTTTCGACCCTCTAGAGCCACAAAACATGCGAAAAACACGGTGTTTCACAATTTTCATGCCTTTTTCCGTATCTGCATCTCCTTCTTTCTTCTGACTCTTCCTCTTCTCTGATCTTCTCTCTTCTATTCTTCTATTCTTCTCTTCTCTCTGACTCTTCCTATCACTGCTTTTCATCTGTCCATATAGTCGGAAGTTTGACGTCTAAACTTCCCTTGATATGTTTATTTTGTTATATTTATTTGTAAGTGTTTTTGTATGTTTGATCTATTTTACAAATCGAATTCGTACCGACAGTTTTCGTGAGTGCAAGACTCATGCTGGATTCGTCATTGTGACATGATTCCTTCGGGGGAATACCTTGGACCTCTTAATTTAATTTTTTCTGTGCCGAGAAGCCATTCCCCATACATGTTTAGATGCATGTCGTGCATGTCACAAACGACCATTCAACCATTCATATCTGGTGGCAACCTTTCTGATTAAGGCCAATTCATCTGAGGTGAAAGATTCGCGAGTGTCTGCTGATCAGCGGACACGCCGCTACTTCGAGACATTTTCGTGTGACTGGGCATAACTGTTGCTGGGCCGATAGCTTATCCATTGATTTTGAGCCCAAAGAGCTCTAAATCTTAAAGAAGCTCCAGCGATGCTAAGAAGGCGACGTGACCTCGGGGTATCGAAGATGGTCAGCTGGCTTTGCAGGATCATGGACAAGTTCGTCAAGCTACTTATTTAGTTGTTTCTCGCGCAGGTGGGGTAGGTGACGCCCCAAAATCTGGTGGTGGGAGAGTAGAAAAGGTTAGCAAGACAGATGCAGCGACTACTGCGGAGTCATCAACTTTTTCTAGGCCACAGAGCTCACCTAGGGTTTGCGGACCAAAGCCAAAATGGTCCCTCAGTGCAAATGCTAGTCAGCAAGGGTTCAACATGTGGAAACGGGGGAGGCGACAAGCCGTCTAGACTTCGTGCCTTGGTGGATGTGACACCAACCATTTAGCCGTTGTTCACTCCGGAACAGGTCCCTCAGATCGAGGACCTTCACAAACAAGCCCCATCCGTTTATGTATCGATGTTGCAGTATTCCGCAGGCATGTCACAAGGTTTTTTAGCAAGAAGGCCACCGTTGACACCACAGAGACCTTCTTTTTAGAGGAAGAAGAGAATCGCATGCTGTCCAGAATGATTCAAGAAGAAAGATTTCAAACACAAATGGCACATGAAGAATTTCTGACAGAGATCAAAGAAATATTTAACTACATTGGGGCCCAGATAATGAGGTCTCCCAAAAAATGGTGATTGTCGAAAAAATCCGCTAATATAAGAACATTTGGAATGGACATTATCCCATTGATTTCTCTAATCCTTCTGTTGATTCAAATGGCCAATGAATCTGTTTCTGCCTTACGAAGTAAAGGTTCTCAAATTAGTCGCGCAGCCTTTCCCCAGGTGGGCTGCAAATCGCGGTCGCCAATGCCCAAATGCCCACGGGAGATCCCTTAGTTCCCTGAGAGAACGGGTGTTGAGCCCCCAAAGGAGCAAATGGTTAAACGGGAGGCATGGTATATGCTTAATTGTGTTGTGTACAATTTACACGGGTGAAAACGTGTCTTGTTTGAACCACTGAAAAATTAGTGGGCGGACAATGTGCAGTATCGTTTTCTTTGCATACTTTGATCCGTGAACCTAGATTGACACCTCGGGTCTGAATGCCAACCTCTACCGCTCTTAGTGAAGTTCACCGGACTTTGTGTGATCTCACTAAGTGCTCGGCCGCACTCTCCGCTTCTCCGTCTGGCAGTGA